AATGGCACAACAGGTTAAGACAACCACCAATCTTCTACCTTTCCCTGTAGCACAGGTGGAGGGACTAAGACCTAAGCTCCAGAGTTAAACTGACACTGAGGAAATTCAGGGACTGTGTAAAAGGCTGTCTCAGTGAGTTTCTCCGCTATCAGCAAGTTTCTGGACTTCTTTAGGGCCACAGATATTCTGAACAAAGTTGTGTTTTTGTTTTGTTGTTGTTCCCCAGCTTCCGTCCTGAAACCCTTCTCTTACTCCCTGTGCTGACGTATATGCCCGTCTCAGTCCCACCCTGCACGCGGCCACCCCCTCCCCTCATACTGCCCTTTGCCTGCACGAGGTCCCACATGTCAGACTTCAGATTTAAAATAAACTCTTATTTCCCTCTGTCTTTTTGCCCAAATATGCTTAGTTCCCCCAGAGCTCTTCCTGGTGTGGTTTAGAAGGAGCGCAGTACTGCGCCTGCAGCTAAACCCACTTGTTGAAAATTACCCACTGTCCAGGGTTAGAGCTGAGAAGAACTCACGGCCCGGCACACAGGGGCCGCTTAAGTGGAGTTTGAAGACTGAATGGGAAGGAAGGCTCCTGCTGGAACAGAGCATCCCTGGTCCTCTCCTATCCCATCCCCCTCTATCTCCTGAGCATCTCCTTCTGATTCTGGGAGTCACCACCACACCTGGTCTGGACTGGGTGCTGCTGAGAATGAGGAGCATCGGAATCCTGCCTGCTTGGAACTCATTTCTGTTTTAGGAGAGGATAGTGCTCAGGCAGAACTGAAACCTGCTACAATTTGAAAAGGAACTGACACTAAGGTGTTAAGAGAGCACTGAGAGGCTGCAGATAGTAAATTCCAATTCTCATGATCCCAAGTCTACCTTGTAAATCTGGCTGGGCAGAGGACGTACATTGGTACAGATAGCAACTGGAAACACAGGGAATCCAGGACAGATGACCCTTCAGGACCAGTGGTGAGAGTGGTGATGCCTGCAAGGTGGAGGGAATGTGGGGTAGAAAGGAGGAACCAACTACAAGAATCTACGTATAGCCTCCTCCCTGGGGGATGGACAGCAGAGAAAGGGCAGGGGAGTCGTCAGACAGTGTAACATATGACAAAATAATAATAATTTGTGAATTATGAAGGGTTCATGAGGGGGCGGGGAATGAGCAGCTGATATTAAGGGCTCAGGTGGAAGGCAAGCGTTTTGAGAATGATGATGGAAGCAAATGTGTTTCACCATCAACAATCCACATGATACCAGGTTCAATTAAAAAAAAAAAATCCCAACTCTACTATTTACTGGCTCGGTGGCCTAGGGCAAATTCTGTCATCTCTTTCTTTAAGACTCCTTTGTTTGATCTGTAATTTGGAGGGAAATAAGCCCACCTTGCAGTGGGGACCCCTGGCCTTGTAACGGTTAGTTGCAAGTTGGGCTGCTAATAGCAAAGTCAACCGCCTGGAGGCAGAAAGACGAGGCTTTCTGCTCTGTTACAGTCTGGAAATTGACAGAGACAGTTCTACTCTGTCCTATTGGGTCGCTATGAGTCAGAACTGGCTTGATGGCCGCGAGTTTGTTTGTTTGTTTGTTTGTTTGTTTGTTGTATGGAGAGGAATGAGTAATACTATTGGCAGTGACTCGGTATCTGATTCCCACTAGGGTTCTACCATCGGCCAGGCATGCCAAGTGAGTGTTGTGTGCCAGGCATGCCAAGTGAGGGTTGTGTGCGGTGGGCGTTGCCTAGGCAGAGGCTGTCCTTTGTAGGGTTCTAACCCGTTCACCCTGCTCGCAAGGTCTATTGTGCTCAGAGCTGACGGAAATCTCCTCTCAGAGAATCCCCCCATAAATTCTCAGGTTCTTTCCTCTCCCCTTCCCCTTTTGGCTCTCTCCCTACAAAAGCAAGAGTTTCCACTTCGCAGGGGTAGAGAAGCAAGACTTGTGGTTGCGGCTGGGGGTTCATTTCGGAGGGCTCTTCTTCAGAGCCCAAAGCAGCTTACCTACCACATTCCTGCCACACCCACCAAGACTAGAGTGGCGAGGAATTCATTTCTATTTCATAAACGAAGGACTGACGCCCCTTAAAGTGAAGCACAGGAGTAACTTGGATTGCTAACCCCAAGGTCGGCCGCTCAAAGCCACCCCAGGGGGGAAAGGTGATGCTGCCTGCTCTTGTAGAGATTCACAGCCCTGCACGCCCTAGGTGGGGTCACTATGAGTTGGCACTGGTTCAATCACGGTGGGTTTGATGTTCAGTTTCTTCTTGTTTGTTTGCTTGTTGGCTTTATGTGTAGAGCTGGGATTTGAACTCATGAACTCTACATTCAAATCTAGTGCTCTTAATGCATCATGAAATGGCAGGGACAACCTAGCTAAGGTTTTCCAGGACTGCATATTACCTGAATTTCAGAGTAATTAGAGGTAAAATTTATACAACTTATAGTTTGATTTTGTATCCTTGTTTGATATGTCATCCGAAAATACAAATTAGGAAGAAAAAACCCCGCATATTTGGTTTGGTCAAGCATAATGGTGTCTGGTTTGAAAACAACAGATTCCCCACACCATGTAGTTCAAACTCAGGTTCTGTCGTGAATAGCACGCTGTTGGTGATTTACTATGCGAAAACACACAGGGATCAAAGGGAGAACTCTCTTCCTGGCCCTGTCCTTGAGCGGTGATCAAGTTGACCCAACTGGTGATGCCCAGGTTCTGCCGCCTATGGAAATGACTAGAAGGGAGGGCGAGAGCAACCTGAAGCTGGCCAGTTCAGTTCGTTTGCTGAATATCTATTGTGTATTTCAGCAACTGAGACTATGTGCATCTTGTTGTCGTAAAATGCTAACTTCCTACATGTAAAAGGGTTCCTGCCAGTTAATAAGAAAGATAAGAAAAGCAGCAATTCAAATTAAAAGTGAGCAAAAGACGTTTGCAGACAGTTCACACATAGAATTGGAAGCACTATCTTTCCTACATTTGAAAAGGTGCCCCTACTCACTCACAATAAGGGACATGCATTTTAAAATGACAAAGAGATGCCAGTTTCACCTTCCCGATGGACAGAGAGGACAGAGATCATGAATTGGATAGCATTACTATGTCAATCAAAGGAATGTGACAACCAGCACTCCCAGGTTTTGGGTGAGTATGAACTGACATGATCTTATGAGAGAGGAATTTGTCAGGGATCTGTAAAATTTAAAATTGCTAGTACCCCGTAACCCATTGCTCAAGCCTTTCCACTTCTGTGACTATAGCTTCCTCCCATACATGTGAAAGGGCATATGTTTAAGCTCATTCACAGCAGCCCCCCCCAAAATGGAAACAATCTAAATATCCATCAAAGGGGCTTAGTAAAATAAGTGATTATCATTGATATGAGGGGGCTTCCAAACGTGCATAGAAAAATGGAGTTGGAAGATAATGATATTTTCCCACTAACTTTTTGAGGTTCCCTTGAACAATAGAATAACCTACACCTGTTAGAAAGAAGCTGCTCATTATGCACTGATACAGAACCGTCTCCAACATCATGGTTAAGTGTAGGCAGTAATGTAGATAGGATGCTACCCTTCGTGTTTCATAAGAGAAAAGAATATGGGTGCCAGTTGTGCTCTGTTTTGTTTTGCTTTGAAGAACTATAAGCAGAGGTTAAGAAACTGGACACTGGTATGACCACTCTAGTCACATCTATGACCAGGGGAGAGAGACCTACTTCCCACCATTTCTCACTGTGCCTGTTACATTTAGTACGTGTGCAGATATCATCTACTCTAAAAAAAAAAAACACAACACTTTCGAGCGTGTAGTCTGGAAGGGGAGAAATTTAACAGAAGCGCTGCCCAATACCCTTGTTTGCTTTCAAGGGAACATAGAAGAAGGGCATCTGGCACAGCCCATAGCAGCCACTCTCCAAAGACGAAATCGCTTCTTTGGAATTTGGATCAGAACTAGCTGTGCATCTCCTGAGCATTGGTTTGTTTTCATCTTATGGGCAGTTCTATGGATTCATCCACTGATCAGGCTTCCTTTTTCACACTGGATATTAAAAAGCTCTGCGCCAAATTAATGTCCTACCCCATACCAGCGAAGTAGATTTCTATGGTTAGCATTTATTACCTGGCTCTATTTTATATACATCTTTGATTTGTATTTTTATAAATTTCTAACATTGGTCATGTTTCTTTATGATATGTTTCTCTGCAAGCCATTCTATACCCTTCTTTGGTATAAGTTCAGGTAAGTGGGTGAATGGAAAAGAAAGAAAGAAAGAAAAGAGAGGAAGAGAATGTAAAGTCAGGGCTGTGACAACTTGACTCCATCAGGTTGATTATGTAACTACTCCAGTGCCGTGGCTTTTCAAAGTATGACCCTTGGACCAGCAGCATTGGGGTGACCTGGGAGTTTTGTTAAAAATAAAAATTCCTGAGCAGAAGCCTGGGGAGGTTGAACAGACTCTGTGGCACATTAAAGTTGAGAACAGATGCACCAAAGAAAGATTGATGTCTAAACATGTCCATCATTCTCACGGTCCTGGTTCAGGTAAAGCATCTTAACTGCTGAAATAAACAACCCCGCCCCCCCATCCCAAGAGCTGAACACAATAAATGCTTCTTTTTTGTTTCCGAGTGTAGGGGCCCGGCTTGGTTTCATTCACTTATTCAGTGAACAGTGAACAGCCTTTGCCATCTTCTAAGTCCTTGGACTTCTCTGGATCCTGTCAAGAAAGCAGGAGAAGGAGGAGCCAGTAGGGAGGCTTTTGGAGCCAGATCTGGAAGTAACACCCTCCTCTTCCACCATATTGCCATGATTCATGGATTGAAACACAATCACATGGCTTGCTCACTTCCGGGAGGCTGGAAACCAGGGCCTGTCTGTGGGTACGCGGCATTGTCTCTGCCACTCTCAGGAGCCTGTGTCCCAAGCTCTGATTGGCATGTTTTAGTAAGGACTGTTTGTTTTTTCAGTTTTGATTTCTCATTGATTTTATCTTTTCATTTTTGATTCCAGCACTATGGGACAGAGAAGCATTCTCTTTGTGATGATCAGCCTGCTCTACGGTAAGCACGCTTGGACTTTATGAAGACCTAGCATCCTTCCACTGCTCTCTGAACTCTGCAAGTCCCAGTCCGAGACATGGTGGGGTTTTAGTCACTTCCTCCCGAGGCTGTGCCATACTGCATGCAAAAAGTCTCTCCTGGAGAAGAGAAGCGTAGAGCTCGAAATCAGGTATCTCAGTGATGGATAGCAGACAGGGATGAAGTCCTACTCTTGTGTGCGTGCTCTTCCTCTGCCACCTCACACCCATGGTCCTGGGTGCACAGAGCAGGGTGGACTGGACCGGCCAGCAGTGCCCAGGGAGCCAGACAAAACACCACTGACGCTCGATCCTTCTGTTCCGTGTAGACTCCCTTCTGGTCTTCTTTATCCCTATTGCTGGCATTCTCTGGCCATTAATAAGCAGCTGACAGGCTTCCAGAACTTCCTTTTGCCAGGGAGCATTGGTCTACATGTTCCCTGCAGGCTCCCTCTACTCTCTTCTCTGCCAGCTTGCTCCCTCAGACCGGAGTTGTAGCTGTCTATGGGGAAGATCAAGGGCTCCCGCTCTCTACTTCCTGCTTCCGTGACCTTCCACTGGGCTCATCAACAGATGAACCATGAAGCTAATGCAGCTGGAGCCTTAGGACGCCTTGTGGGCACAACCCCTCCCCAGAGCCCCTTTCAAGAGCACATCAAGGCTCCTCAAAGAGTAGTCACCGGTCTGTGTGTGGCTAAAATGAGCATGAATAAGGTCTTTTAACCACAATAAAGCGAAGACTCCTGCCCCTTTCCCACAGGGACTTTCTCCTCCTTTTGGGTGATGTGATGAGGGACACAGGCACCTGCCATTTGTCATTTTTGTATCATTTTTCTTAAAGCCGCCCACAAAGCTCGGCTCTTCCGTGTTGCTGTTCCTCTCTGAGTTTCATGTGAAATGGGATTGGCCAGAGCCCCTGCATCACATCCTAAGACTCTGCCTTTCAGTTTCCTCCTGCTGCTCATTTTCTCACACTGAGCACAGAGAGGGAAGTCATCCCAGGCATGGTGAGAGGCAGATGGGAAAGGTTAACTGAGCCTGCAAGGCAGCATCCAGGCAGCCTGACAACCCTTGGGCGAGCCACAGGTCTCCTCTAGGCGCTTGGCCCCTGTCCCCATCCCAGTCATAGGTAATAGGAACCAGGGCAGCAGAGGGAGCTGCTCCCTCATATTCATGCTGGCTATGCTAGGAAACTTGTGCTTTCTGTTTTCTGCTTAGTGCATAGGAGCTTGTTCAGTCTGAGGATGAGGTCCATAGATAGGGTAACTAAGCACTTCATTGCTGATGATAGCAATACCTCTACCTTCCAGGGACATGACCAAGTACTTTAGCTTTGGAGTGTGTGTGTGTGTGTGTGTGTGTGTTTTAAAGAGAGATGGACTTTGGAGAATGTTATCAACAGGATTCTTTATCCATCCAGCTTCTTTTATTTGACAGATATGTATGCAGCACTTACTCTGTGCCAAGTACTGTTCTAAGCACTTTATAAATCTTAACTCATTGAAACATCACAATAAATCTATGACCAAGATCTGTTGTTAGTCCCATTTACATTTACAAGAGCAGGTAGTAACTTGCCTGAGATAACTGTGGTAAAGATTGATAGGGCTTGCATCCACATGCGGGACAGCAGGGAGTGATGGGAGATTGGATTCAGTATCTGTTCACTTACCCTGTTCCTCCACAGATGTTGAGCCAATTCCTACTCAGACCAGCAACATAGGGCAGGAGAGAACTGCACTCTCGGATTCCCCAGGCTATATATACATCTTTATGAGCACAGACAGCCTCCCCTTTCTCCCGCAGCACCTGATGATGGATTCAAACTGCTGACCTTACCATTAACAGCCCAATATGTCACTGGGGTCCTATCTGATCACTTAACAATGACATTATACTGCTTCTCCCAACCTTTGCTTATGAGCCACCCATAAGTGGTAGAATTTCTTCCTTGGTGACCAGAATGACTTCTACTGGTCCTATTGCTTTTCCCTTATCCATTCTCATAAGCTCCTCACCAGCACACCCTCTGCCTGCCTTTAAGACAGCACCCTGGCTGCCCTGAAAGGTGGCCCCAGTCCTCATCACAGTGACCTGACCAGCTCCTATGACCTGCATAAGAAGGAGGGAAAACACCCTATAATTTCTTTCAGAATAGACTAAATTGAGGCATCACTTCTTCCCAAAGATCCTGATTCTGCAGGCTGAAAGTAAGAAAGTAAAACCACCACCCACCCACCCCCAGCAAACTGGGTCCAAACGTCACTTTGGCCCTTGCTTTTTGCCTTTGAAACCCTGCTGGAAAGTTCTTTGCTCCTGCAAAGAGTTGTCAAGGTTGCAACTTTGAAAATAACTCCCCCAAATGGCACCTCTTTGTGCCTAATGGTGGTGAGAGAGGAATTGATTATATTTGGGGCATTACAAATGAAAAGTAAGATAGGAAGATGGTAACGTTTGCTAGGGAAATAACACACACTATCAAACACACCCACAGATACAAATCTTCTCCTCCTCTGTTTCCGCCTCCTCCTTTTTTTCTTTAAAGGAATCAGCCTGAGTTTTATCCATCTTTCTTCATGTCAATCTCTGCTTCCCCAGCTGGTGAAGGGATAATGAACTAGTCACAGGGTCGGGCATCCAATGAGAGAAAGGTGATACAATTGGCCTAGATCATCCACAGCATAAATGCATTGTCGACTGATTCACTTGACAGTCAAGATGACTGCTGAGTGAAATCATCCATTTCCCCTGCCTGGCACATGCCTATCTTCCGTGTTCTTCCTCAGTCATGTGACTCAGACATGGCAATAGTTTGCTTGTTTTTTTAATTTTAACAGTTCTGCTGACATATACCGTATATACTCAAGTATAAACCAACCTGAATATTAGCCAGGGCACCTAATTTTACCACAAAAACTGCATAAAAATGTGTTAACAAACTTGGCCTATACATGAGTATATATGGTAATCCATATACCACACAATCCAATGGTTTAAATACACACAAAAAGAATTGTGCTATCATTACCACAATCAAGTGGAGAACATTTTCTGCACTCTTGTACTTATTATTATTAGCTCCCCATTTCCTTCCACCAGCCCCTGCCACAACCCTCGGAAACAACTATTCATCTACTTTTTGTTTCTATAGATTTAACTATCCTGGATGTCATGTACAGAAAACCACTCAAAAGAGCCCCCACCCCCAAAACAAGCAAACAAATACACAGAAAAACCTCAATTCAAAAGAAAGCAGAAAATAACAAAAACTAAAATGGCAATGAGTTTTTTGAGTGAGAGAACAAATTTAAAATGGGCTACCCCTATTCTTGAGGTGAAAATTGGATGACTGAACGAGGTGGAGGTGGTATCAGAGGATTGTTTCTGAAGGTACTGGCAAGGGAAAACCAACCAACCAAAGAGCCCAGTCACTAAGTCCATTTTGACTCCTGCTCCTCTAGTGCGTTACAAAACACAGTTTTCTTAGCCATTATCTTTTTTTTTGATGCTGTGATTTTTAAAAAATTATTTTATTGGGGGCTCGTACAATTCTCATCACAATCCATGCATCCATCCATTGTGTCAAGCACATATGTACATTCGCTGCCCTCATCATTCTCAAAACATTTGCCCTCCACCTCATCCCTTAATATCAGTTGCTCATTTCCCCCTCCCTCCCCCCCTCCCTCATGAACCCTTCATAATTCACAACTTATTATAGTTTTGTCATAAGTTACACTGTCCGACGTCTCCCCCTGCCCTCTTCTCTGCTGTCCATCCCCCAGGGAGGAGGCACTACCTAGATTCTTGTAACCGGTTCCCCCTTTCCACCCCACATTCCCTTCACCCTCCAGGCCTCACCCCTTTCACCACTGGTCCTGAAGGAGTCATCTGTCCTGGATTCCCTGTGTTTCCAGTCGCTATCTGTACCAATGTACATCATCTGGTTTAGCCAGATTTGTAAGGTAGAATTGGGATCATGATAGTGGTGGGGAGGAAGCATTTAAGAACTAGAGGAAAGTTATATGTTTCATTGTTGCTACGCTGCACCCTGATTGGCTTGTCTCCTCCCCTCAACCCTTCAGTGAGGAGGTGTCCAGTTGCCTACTGATGGGCTTTGAGTCTTCACTCTGCACTCACCCACCTTTACAATGATATTTTTTGTTCTTTGATGCTTGATACCTGATCCCTTCGACAGCTAGTGGTCATGCATGCTGTTGTGCTTCTTCCATGTAGGCTTTGTTGCTTCTGAGCTAGTTAGCTGCTTGTTTATCTTCAAGCTTTTAAGACCCCAGACACTATATCTTTTGATAGCCTGGCACCATCAGCTTTCTTCACCACCTTTGCTTATGCACACGTTTGTCTTCAGTGAGCGTATCAGGAAGGTGGGCACCCACTGATCTGATTTTTAGTTCATTGATGTCTGATAACTGGTCCCTTCTGCACCTTGTGGTCAGACAGGCTGGTGTGCTACTTCCATGTGGGCTTTGATGCTTCTGAGCTAGATGGCTGCTTGTTTATCTTCAAGACTTTAAGACCCCAGACGCTATATTATCTTTACAGAAGCTCTTCTCCAAATTTGTCTTCCACTGTGCTGCCAGATGGGTTCAAATACCAACCTTTAGGTTAGTAGTCCAGACTACAGAGGCATCTTGAATTGTCAAAATAAGTATCCTAATCTTCCCGCTTCTCACCATTTTAAGAAGCCTGTATTCCAGCTTTAATTCTGAGCATTTGCCGAAAGCTATGGATAACAGGGAAAGCCTGGAATTCATTTGCAGAGTCCCCATGCATATTAAAGCCTCCATTGAATCCCCTCAGACATTAACGAGGGACGAGAACACTTGTCCTCAGGCAGAGTGCATTAGAAAGTGGATTATTTCCACTGTCTCCAGACAGCCCAGGAAGGGCCGTCTCCCTGACGGACTTGCCCGGATGTGTCTTTGATGGACCAAACCCAAACCCAACTCACTGCCATCAAGT